TTCTCCATTATTTGTTTGAAAATATTTTCAATCCATCACATCTCATTGTTAGAAGATCTCGGGCCTTGAGAAGGATAGGGAGGTGGATTTCTCGGTTGTTAGAACATCGGGGGCCTTTGAAAACCCGACCCCCGGTTGTTGTTGTTGTTCTACCCTCCTTGATTACCTCCCTAATTACTTTGATTGTTGCCACCCCAATTGCCTTGGTTTCCTTGATTATTCCAATTGCCTTGATTATTGTTGCCACCACTCCATTTGCCTTGGTGGCTTTGGTTGTTCTAATTTCCTTGTGATCTCCATTGTTGTTGATTTTGAGCATTGTTTCTTTGACCTTGATAATTATTGACGTATTGCACTTCTTCTTCTTGCTCATTATACGAATCACCTTGGTCATACCCACTATCATCTTGCATGAATCATTCCAGATGGCTTTGGCCATATTGACCTTTTTGTCGTCTCTTGTTCATCATCATATTTATGCCTTCCATCGCATTCACTTGTTTCGGCCCTTGAACTTGTTGCAACTGAGCTTTTGCCAGTTGGTTCATTGTGGTTGTTAACTCTGCGATAACTTGCACATGATCATGTAGTTCCTTGTGTAGGTGAATGGCATTGGGGTCACCTTGCGAAACATTGGCCCTACTTTGCCATGACGATGAGGTATCCGCCATCTCACCCATAATTTCACAAGCTTCGGCATAAGGTGTGTTCATGAAGTTTCCGCCGGCGAGTTGATTTACCACAAATTGATTTGTTGTGTTGATACCCCTGTAGAAGGTTTGTTGGATCATGACCTCAGTCATATCATTATTCGGGCACTCTTTAACCATAGTACGATATCTTTCCCAAATCTCGTGCAATGGCTCATTGGGCTCTTGCTTGAACGCTAGAATTTCATCCCATAGTGTAGCCATGTGCCCCGAAGAGAAGAATTTGGCAATGAATTTTTCGGCCAACTCATCCCATGTATGGATGGAATGATTGAGCAATTTCTCTAGCTAGTCCAATGCTTTTACCCGTAAAGAAAAGGGAAATAGCCTCAACCTCAGCGCGTCCTCAGAAAGATTGGTTTGCTTGCTCCCCCAACATGTATCGACGAACCACTTGAGATGCTTGTAAGCATTTTGATTTGGATCCCCGATGAAGAATCCTCGTTGCTCAAGTAGTGTAAGCATCACGTTGGTGATTTGAAAGTTGTCCGCCCTAATGCGGGGCGGGACTATAGCACTTGCATAACCCTCGTTTGGAAACACCCAGTGGGCTGCCGCTTTTGGTGGAGGTGGGGGAGGGACGGGAACATTATCATGAGGCGGTCGGCCTCGCCTATTTGCTTGAGGTTCGGGAAGAACCTCATCTCCTTGATCATCGTTCACTTCCTCCCCCAATGGCAAATTACCAATGAGCTAGTTGTTGAAAGTCATTCTCGTACCTATAAGCAATTCAAAAACAAAATTATTGCCTCGGAAGGAAAAGAAGACAAATCACACAAAAACCTAGATATATAGCTAAATTCGTTTAACTCCATGGCAACGGCGCCAAAAATTGATGTCGCCCAAACTCACACCACAAATATAGGTAGTGAGACGGTCGAAGCAATAATAAAACCCAACGAAAGTCGGGGTCGAATCCTCGGGGAGTTAGAATTGGGATTAGGTATATATTTAGTGTAATTGTACGATATGCCTTAGATTACACTTTCACATTCTTGTTTGTTATTTTCTACTTCTACTTTAAACTATTGATTGCAATTGTATAACTAGAAGACAATATTTTTGGTTTTGGTTGTTTTCCAAATGATAAAAGATCTAGGATCGTGACTTCCACCTAGGTGGTTATCTAATGGGTTGTAAACTCTAGGGCAAGTTTGATTGGTCGGGGTTGTAATATATCAATTACCCATTCTATACCTCTCGGTAGTTTGAGTGATTTTTTCCAATTTGTCTTTCTCAAGTCCAAATGGGTATTGCACAAAACAAGTGATAAATGCTCAAGTCGGGTCTTACTATCTCTAGATTCAACCCCTTTAATTGGGGCTATCAATTTCTTGTTAGCCAAGTTTTCCTAGACTTAGTCTCTCTTTCTCAAGTAGAGTCTAAGTCAATTAGGCATGAATCAATATTTGTAACCATTAATTCTTAAATTCAAGCAAGAACTAGGCTAAATATCACTAACCCAATCACAAACAAGTCCTAAATCAAACACCCATTAAGTACCCCACACTAGGGTTGTGCTACAACCCTAGCTAAAAATTTAGCTACTCATGAAAAATAAAGAAATAAAAGAAGAAATTAGGATAGAACGCATAATAGTTGATTAGGGAAAGAAAATCTAATATTTAGAAGCTAATCTAGTATAATATTACTCAAAACAGTTAAGAAAAAATGGCTCAGGTGCTCTCCCAAAAACAAAACTTACCCTAAAAATGACAAAAAGTTCTATTTATACTAAGCTGAAAATATCTGACAAAAATGCCCCTGCGGAGGTCCGCAATCTGAGCGTGACTGGTCAATTGGACTTTCTGCGATCACATAAAAGTGGGATGCGGCCCCACTTTATTTGATTGTGCGGACCGCACAATTCTGAGTGCGGCCGCACTTGTCATCTTGCGGCTGTATAATTATGGTGCGGTCCGCATATCTTCAGCCTGCCCAAAAACTAACTCTCTGAATCTCCTCTTCTGCGGCCACACAATAATTGTGCGGTCCGCATACTCTAAAAGAAATCTGACAGTGATAATTCATTGTTCTGCGGCTGCACACATTATTTTGCGGTCCGCACTGTGGGCCTTTTTGCCTTGTTTTGGTCCTTGTCCATAATTGGCTCCTTTATGAGTTGATTTTGACTTCTTTAGCTCGTCTCCTAATGTTCCTTCACGAAAGCATATTTTATTAGTTACCGGGAATACCTTTAAGAATTTTTGAGCTAAAACGCAAGTAAAAGAGATCAAATAAGCGGTCAAAATCCCTGCTTATCAATCATCGATCAAAACGTCTCTAGAAATCAAACTATGTAGCGATTTGACCTCTGATTATCCCCTCGGGACCATCTCTTAGTTCCTTTTTTTAGGACCATCCCAAAAGAAAAATATTATAAGACTATGTTGGATAATCTCTCCTCCGTTGGGTCAGATCCTTATGGATGGAGCTTGGTGCCTTTATTATATTATCCTAGCTGTCTATTTTCAAACCTAAAATATAAGATTCAGTTTGTTAAGTAAAACATGTTCACTTAAAAAAATCGAACTACATCAAAACAAAGAATGAAAACTATAAAAGTTTTGTAGAGATATTTACATGTGCCTGGATCAGTACAAATAAGCTAGAATAGATAACTAGATCGCAGACGCTAAAACTCCAAATCCTGAGGACAAAATAAATATTTTAGTTTGATACAAAAAAGAATAAAATAAAGAAAATAAATATATATTTGTCTGTTTTTCTTGGAGGGGAGGGAACAAAATAAGAATATATACCATCATGGTGATTCATTGATTCAATTGATTTAAAAGAACAACAGAAAGAAGAAAACCACGCTATCATGAGAATGGTTTTGTTTTTCTTGATGCCAACCATTATTATGATCAACTTTCTTCTTGCATAATTACTTAAGAGTTTTACTTGTTGGTGGGTACTACATTGTTGTTTTCGCCCTGGTAGCCAGACTCAGCACCAACGTTCAAAGGAGCAGATTGAGAGTTCGACATTTTTAATTCGACCTGAAATTAAAATGTCAAAGAGCAAGTGTAAAATAAAGTGTGTTATGGAAATTTGTATCAAATTACCGCTATTATCCCTAGCCTCACGGTGGGCGCCAAACTGTTTACCCTCTAAAAGGGATAACAATTAAATTTATATGTGATTTTAAAGATATGTGAATTAATTCAATACAAATGATAAATGGCGTTAGATTAAACAGATAAAAGATGCAATAAATTGCCAAACCAATAAGGAGAGTGATCCCGGACTCAGTAACGTCTTAACGAAGTGCCTGACTTCGATCCCGGGCTCACACTAATAAAGAACTGATGAACAAAAGTAAGAACTTTCATAATAGAGAGAATAAGAGCATATTGCTTTGATATGCGTGTTATAATGTGTTTAATGAATAATTAGTTTGCCCTTTATATAGTAGGAAAGTTTAACTCTAAGTACAATTCTAAAAAAAGATAAGAATCTTTCTTTATGCTAAACACTGATTCACTGCTAATACGGGCCGAGATTTACGTTGTGATATCCGGTTAGGCGCGGACATCACGACCCATTCTTAGTGTGTGCAGTTGCTTGGTAATGCTCTCCGAAGTCTCAATCCTTAAATTGGACCTCGAGGATATGACCCCGATATCCCTGAGGGCAAGTGTTTGCCCGAGCCCTGATACGAGGGATTCTTCGTTCTGACTCCGATACATTATAGTCACCTTCCTGCTCCGCTTGGCTCACCGGAAAGTCGAGTCATGCAGCGAACCCGATTTTACCCATATACACTTGTCTCATTCTATTCGTATTTTGATTGTGATTGGTTACTTGTTGTCTTTATCATATGTATACTCTTTGTTGTCATTTGTTGATTTTATTTTCATTGTTAGCCTTTATTGACGGAAAGACTATTTCGAGCTCTAGTGAATCTAATTCCAGTGATGAATGTGGTTGATTCATTTTTCGATTTGGTCTATGAATCTGAAATAGGGTATTGTCCAAAGACCTAAGTGTTATATTTTCTAATTTGGAGAGAAGCAGGTGAAGACGCGTGGATAGTATCATATGCTAAAGGAAGAGCCAAATGTCCAATGTTCTAGAAGATATTTTTTATCAGATTTAGTAGACAGCTGTAATCACATATTCTTTTGTATATATTTTTAATGTAGGTTGTTAGGAAGTTGGTTATTAGATTCTTTTTTTGGCTCGGTAGGTGCTCTTCTAGCCTAGTCCATTTTATTCCTTTTGTAGTATATAAATAGACTTGCACAGTGTAAAAGAAGAACACACAGAAAATGAAAGCTTGAAAGTTTTCACAAATATTTCCTTTCAATTGATTTAGCCTTGTATTGATAAATTTCTTTATTATCATTTATTGCCTTTACTTCCCCATTGTTAGATTATATTAATATTTTATACAGGTTTCTATGTCTGGTAAGTGTCTTGACCTGACCTCGTCACTACTCTACCGAGGTTAGACATGCTACTTATTGGGTACCGTTGTGGAGTACTCATGCTACGCTTCTGTATATTTTTGTGCAGATCCAGGTACTTCTGCCCGTGTCGGATGCCAGTGAGTTGATTCAGTCATTTCGGAGACTTCAAGGTATACCTGCTTGACGCTCACATGCCTCAGAGTCGCCTTCTGATATTGTCTTTACTACTGTTTATCTTCATATCAAAATAATATTGTATTTAGAGATTCCTAGTGTACTTCATTTGAGCATATGATTGTGTACCTCCAGTTTTGAGAATTATATGAATGTTGTTCCGTTTTGGTTTTATTATGATATTTATCAGTTTAAGTTAATATCTTGTCGGTATTTCTGCTAAATTCTCAATGTGTGTTGGGCTTACCTAGTCTTAGAGGCTAGGTGACATCACGGCTTCCTAAGCTGGGATTTTGGGATCGTGACAACAAACAAGGCTTTTCCAATTAAATTCATTCAAGTCGATATTTTGCAAAATAACAAATCTAAATAAAAAGTAATAGAGTTTCTCTATATTTGTATAGGATATATCACCAAATACAAACATTCACCTAAAAGATCGGGAGAAATTCAAAAATAGCCAGATTTACAAGTGGTCATTCAAAAATAGTCACAGTTTCAAAAGTCATCGAAATTTAGCCACTTTTCATGTAAATATAAATCTGAACGAAAACACTATTCAAAATTCGGAAAATATCTAGCATAATATACTGGAACTCCAGTATATTATACTGGAGTTTGGAGTTCCAGTATACTTTGCTGGAATTATACTGGAGTTACAGCAAAGTATGCTGGAACTCCAGTATATTATACTGGAGCCAGCAAAGTATACTGGTCCAGCATAATATGCTGGAAGTTTATACACATGTGCACCGAACTCCAGTATATTATGCTGGACCGGTCTCTGTTGCAGCAAAATAGTAGCTATTTTTTAATGACTTGGCACACACCGACTATTTTTGAATGACCAGTCCGAAAACTGGCTAGCCCATGCTATTTTCACAAAAAGATCAAGTCTTAATTCCTTTTCAATTGGGCCTTCTTCGTGAAACGAGATTTGAAATGGGCCAAGACCTTTTATCTTTTGTAAACGACCGAAGATCCTAAGCTATATTTACACTCAGTGGCTACTTTTGTGGCCTTGTTTTTAGAAGTTGTCCATTTTTTAAGACAGAGATCCATGATTTGAAAATTAGATTTTAAATTTTGAGATACGGAACATGTGATCACGTTCAAATTTTAGACCATTGGTTAATTTTATAAAAGTGGTCGACAACTAAATACAACGCGATAAAAGTGATTACTTGTATGAGTCAACCAATACATCAGCAATACGTAACATACCTTTGAACTAACAATTAAAATATATCAATTTGGAATTTGTTAAATCTGAGTAGATTTAGATGGAATTAAGATATGAAATTAAGAAGATGCTACCCAATTATTAAGTTCCTCCACTATATAAAGACCACCAAGTCCTATCAAACTCTCATTCCTCACCACAAGTAAAAAGCTTAAGTAATTATGCAAGAAGAAAGTTGATCATAATAATGGTTGGCATAAAGAAAAACAAATTCATTCTCATGATAGCGTGGTTTTCTTTTTTCTGTTGTTCTTTTAAATCAATTGAATCAATAAATCACCATGATGGTATATATTCTTATTTTGTTCCCTCCCATCCAAGAAAAACAGACAAATATATATTTATTTTCTTTATTTTATTCTTTTTTGTATCAAACTAAAATATTTATTTTGTCCTCAGGATTTGAAGTTTTAGCGTCTGCGATCTAGTTATCTATTCTAGCTTATTTGTACTGATCCAGGCACATGTAAATATCTCTACAAAACTTTTATAGTTTTCATTCTTTGTTTTGCTGTAGTTCAATTTTTTTAAGTGAATATGTTTTACTTAACAAACTGAATCTTATATTTTAGGTTTGAAAATATACAGCTAGGATAATATAATAAAGGCACCAAGCTCCATCCATAAGGATCTGACCCATCGGAGGAAAGATTATCCAACATAGTCTTATAATATTTTTCTTTTGGGATGGTCCTAAAAAAAGGAACTAAGAGATGGTCCCGAGGGGATAATCAGAGGTCAAATCGCTACATAGTTTGATTTCTAGAGACGTTTTGATCGATGATTGATAAGCAGGGATTTTGACCGCTTATTTGATCTCTTTTACTTGCGTTTTAGCTCAAAAATTCTTAAAGGTATTCCCGGTAACTAATAAAATATGCTTTCGTGAAGGAACATTAGGAGACGAGCTAAAGAAGTCAAAATCAACTCATAAAGGAGCCAATTATGGACAAGGACCAAAACAAGGCAAAAAGGCCCACAGTGCGTACCGCAAAATAATGTGTGCAGCCGCAGAACAATGAATTATCACTGTCAGATTTCCTTCAGAGTATGCGGACCGCACAATTATTGTGTGGCCGCAGAAGAGGAGATTCAGAGAGTTAGTTTTTGGGAAGGCTGAAGATATGCGGACCGCACCATAATTGTACGGCCGCAAGATGACAAGTGCGGCCGCACTCAGAATTGTGCGGTCCGCACAATCAAATAAAGTGCGACCGCATCCCACTTTTATGTGACCGCAGAAAGTCCAGTTGACCAGTCACGCTCAGATTGCGGACCTCCGCAGGGGCATTTTTGTCAGATATTTTCAGCTTAGTATAAATAGAACTTTTTGTTATTTTTAGGGTAAGTTTTGTTTTTGGGAGAGCACCTGAGCCGTTTTTTCTTTACTGTTTTGAGTAATATTGTACTAGATTAGCTTCTAAGCATTAGATTTTCTTTCCCTAATCAATTATTATGCATTCTATCCTAATTTCTTCTTTTATTTCTTCATTTTTCATGAGTAGCTAAATTTTTAGCTAGGGTTGTAGCACAACCCTAGTGTGGGTACTTAATGGGTGTTTGATTTAGGACTTGTTTGTGATTGGTTTAGTGATATTTAGCCTAGTTCTTGCTTGAATTCAAGAATTAATGGTTGTAAGCATTGATTCATGCCTAATTAACTTAGACTCTACTTGAGAAAGAGAGACTAAGTCTAGGAAAACTTGGCTAACAAGAAATTGATAGCCCCAATTAAAGGAGTTGAATCTAGAGATAGTAAGACCCGACTTGAGCATTTATCACTTGTTTTGTACAATACCCATTTGGACTTGAGAAATCCAAATTGGGAAAAATCACTCAAACTACCGAGAGGTATAGAGTGGGTAATTGCGTGTGATTGCTATATTACAACCCCGACCAATCAAACTTGCCCTAGAGTTTACAACCCATTAGGAAACCACCTAGGTGGAAATCATGACCCTAGATCTTTTATCATTTGGAAAACAACCATAACCAAGGCCGAAGTGATCGAAGCTACATGCGACTCCCTCCTTGTGGTAAATCAAGTCAATGGGACATTCGAACTGAAAGAGGAATGAATGCGAAGATACTTAGATAAACTACAGGTAACGCTACATCGATTCAAGGAATAGACCCTATAACACGTGCCCCAGGATCAAAACAACAAAGCCGATGCTCTGGCTAACTTGGGGTCGTCGGTTGATGACGATGAATTCAGCTCGGGAACGGTCGTACAACTCATGAAATCAGTAGTAGAAGAAGGCTATGCCGAGATAAACTCAACAAGTTTAACTTGGGATTGGAGAAAGAAGTATATCGACTATTTGAAGACTGGGAAGTTGCCCTCGGATCCCAAAGAATCGAGAGCTTTGCGCACGAAGGCAGCCAGGTTTAGCCTGTCCGAAGATACTCTATTCAGAAGAACGTTTGATGGCCCACTCGCCATATGCTTGGGACCGGCAGACACTGAATATGTTTTTAGGGAAGTTCACGAGGGCACCTGCGGAAAGCATTCGGGGGCAGAATCGTTGGTTCGTAAGATAACCAGAGCTGGCTATTACTGGATCGATATGGAGAAAGATGCGAAGGACTTTGTGCGAAACTGTGATGGCTGTCAGAGGCACGCACCAATGATCCACCAACCCGGGGAGTTACTGCACTCGGTCCTGTTGCCATGCCCGTTCATGAAATGGGGAATGGACATCGTTGGTCCCCTACCATGGGTACTCGGCAAGGCTCAATTTATACTATTTATGACTGACTATTTCTCTAAATGGGTTGAAAGCTCTAGCGTTTGAGAAGGTCTGGGAAAAAGAAGTCATCGACTTCATTTAGGATCACATAATATGTCGGTTTGGTATACCGGCCGAGATAGTGTGTGATAACGGGAAGCAGTTCATCGGCAGTAAGGTAAGAAAATATTTTGAGGACTGTAAGATCAAAAAGATTTTGTCAACACCCTATCACCCTAGAGGGAACGAACAGGCAGAGTCGACGAACAAAACAATCCTTCAAAACCTTAAGAAAAGGTTGACCGACGCCAAAGGAAAATGGAAGGAAATCCTGTCCGAAGTCTTGTGGGCATACCGCACGACCTTATAATTTAGTACCGGGGCCACTCCATTTTTGTTGGTCTACGGTGCCGAAGCACTAATATAGGTCGAGGTAGGAGAACCGAGACTCTGGTTCCGATATGCAACCGAAGAATCAAATGGCGAGGCCATATGCACGAGCCTAGAACTAATGGATGAGAGGCGCGAGGCAGCTCTAGTCCGGTTGGCCGCCCAAAAGTAGTGGATAGAAACATATTACAACCGAAGAGCCAACCTCCGACACTTTAACATCGGGGACTTGGTGTTAAGAAGTGTAACACAAAACACCCGGAACCCAAACAAAGGGAAGCTAGGACCAAATTGGGAAGGTCCATATCGAGTCATCGGGATTACCAGTAAAGGTTCGTATAAACGTGAAGCAGGAAAGGGCGCACAACTACCAAACAACTGGAACGTGACTCACTTAAAATGATACTACTGCTAAGGTACGACCTTAAATTACAAATTGGGCTAACACTTGTAGGAAACAGCCAAAGGAGAATGTAGCTTTTAGGTCTAAAAGCACGTGTTGAACTCTTTTTTCCTTGAACCGGTTTTATCCCAAATGGGTTTTCCGGCATGACTTTTAACAAGGCAACAATAAACGGTGCTAACATAGAGTCGAAGACCGGTTTTGAATCGGAGTCAATGGTCGCATCAACAGTATCCGAGCCCCCTCGATGATCGACCTCGAATACTGGGGGCCATCACCCTCGGGTCATGATTTTTAGCAAGGAAGAAAACTCTGTGCTCGAACAGTCTAGGCTCGGTGGTTAGGATTTATTGTAAGGGCCAAACAGTCGAATGAACCATCCCCACGTAGGTCACCTCAGCCAT